ACTCAACACCCACAAGTTAAAAGAGGAAAACTTTATAACAAGTATCATGAACCTTGATGTTTTCTTCATGTACCTTGTGCTTGAAGTTTGTTAATCTTACTAATTGTTTCATGCTTACTACTTAACATACTACTTGACATGTTATAGATAAATGTATAAGTACATGCTGAATCAAACTGAGTAATTTTATAAGACAAATCGATGGAATGAATGCATTTATTTGGATTTTCAATTTTTTTGCAGTACTGGTGCTATGGCTTATCACCCCCCCCATGTGCATACGTGGGCTTCTGGGGCTAACTGGATGTTGAGTATGTTATACTGGATTAATTCATTGACTGGATTAGCATAGTTCTGGATATAGCTGATGGACTGACTTACTAAAGAGGGAAGACTCAACCTGGGTGTGGGTGGCACCAATTTATGGGCTTGTAGACTGGAAGGAATAAGAGAAAGAAGGAAGGTTTAAATTTCAGAAACAACCCAACTGCCCATCGATCAAGGAATGGATAGAAAGGATGTGGTATTTTTATACAATGGAGTACTACTCAGCTATAAAGAAAGATTGCATTGAGGCTTTCCTCCTTTACATCGTGGGTGTTGGGTATTGTGCCTCAGTGATGAGAAGTACCTAAACAACTGGGGACCAGACCCAGTGCCTCCCGCAAGCACCCTGCCACTGCACTATATCCCAGCTCTTTAATATTTTAAACCAAAATAATTTCATGTACTAGTAGTACGTTTTTCTGTGGGCTGCTGTGTCTACTTTATCACCACCTACCTCCACGCCTTGCACTTGAAACTCCAGTAAACAGGGATTATTTTAAGTTTTCTAGTCTGTTATGTTTTTCTATACTTCTGTGCCTTTGCATGGGCTATTCCTTCTGTTTTTAATTCCATTTTCTGCCCAAAGAACTATCTCTAAGCTTCAGCTCAGATAGTTCATCTTCCAAGGAACTTGAGGTTTCCCTGACTCAAATTCTTATCTGACCTATGGGTACACACATATGTCACTAAATGACAGCTAATATGCATTTAAGGAAATGCATGATTAGGTCATCACATTATTGTGTGAACATCATAGAATGTACTTACACAAACCTGATGTGTAACTACAATACACCTGACGTATGTGAGATAGCCTGTATGTGTGGTTTATTGTTCACGGAAATGTTATGTGGTATGCAACTGTACTTCCATCATTTTCCATCAAAATTCCATCATTGCCCTTAACTCATTTGTCCATTTCAGTCCTTCTTGTTCTTAGCCCAGGGCCAGGCACATTGAAGTACTCAGGAAATGTTACTGGAGTTTATGGAAGTTTGGAGAAATTTAATAGAAGAAAAAAGAAATTAAGAGAAAATGGCATGAAAGTGACTTCAGTTGTTTTTAAATAAAAGAATTTTTAAGGTACTTAAACAGAAAAATGTACAAATCTGGTGTACATTTCCATGTTTTTCTACAAATCAAATGCTTCCATATAACCAATGTGCAGATCAAGAAATTAAACATACCAAAACACCAGAAAATCTGCCTTATTCTCTTTTCACAGCCCCCCAAAAGGTGACCATTTTACTGACTTTTAACACCAAGGATAAGTTTCACTCACCTGACAACTTCCATATTATAAGTAAAACTCGATCAAAATTTGTTATGTGTGCAAGACTGTTACTACTACTAGCTAAGATCTATTGAGCCTTTCCTATTTACTGAGCACCATTCTAATTGCTTTACATGTATTAGTAAATTTATTTTCATAGCCACTCTGAGAAGTAGATACTTTAATTATTCCCAATTTACCAGTGAACAACCTGGAATACATTGAAGTTAATCTGCTCAAGGACATGTAGCAGCTAAGTGGGAAAGCTGGTGTTTGAAAGCAGATAGTCTTCAGATTCTGTGTGATGCAATGCACAAACATCATTAAACTAAATTTTTAAAAAATGACATCAGCAGCTTAAAAATGGTGACTGTTATACTCTGCTGTTGGAAAATATAAATGTCAGAGCAAAAGATACCTCAATCTAGGGTCTCATTGATAGTAGTGGTCAGACATGTCCTTTACGCATTAGTTCTGGCCAGCCACTGAAAGACTCCATAGCCAGACTCATTTGAGTTCAAACCCTAGCTCCATCACTTACTAAGAATTTGAGTTTAGGTTGTCCATTCTCTCTCTGCATGTCTTAGTTTGTCTATGCAATATAGATGATGATAGTAGCTATATCATAAATTTGTTGTGAAGGTTAAATGAAACATTTCTGATACATGATATGAGCACAATTCATTTATTTATTCATCCACTTATCCATTGAACAGATGTCTCTTCAATGCCAATGATGTGCCAAGCACTGTCTTGGTGCTTAGAATATATCAGTGAACAAATCAATGATCCCTTCATGCAAATGGCAATGGATAGGTCTTGTGGGTTGAATTGTATTTTCCCCAAAGGTATGTTCATATCTAAAAACCTAGTACCTATCAATGTGACCTTATTTAGAAATTGAGTCTTCACAAATGTAATCAAATTAAGATGAGGTCCTATTAGGTCAAGATGAGGTTCGAATCCATCAACTAATCTCCTCATAAAAGAAGAGGAATTAGACACCCACACATACACAGGGGGCAGACAGATATGTGAAGATCAGACACAGAGGGACGCAGAGTTTGGAATGATATATATGCGGGCTGTGGAAGGCCAAGGATTGCTGGTAACCAACAGAAACTAGGAGAGACAGATTATCTCAGCCTCCAGAAGGAACCAAGTCCAGACGATCTTCAGTTTGGATTTCTAAGCCTTCAGAACTGTGAGAAAATAAATACCTGTCATTTTAAGCCTCCTGGTTTGTGGTACTTTGTTACAGGTATCTTGGAATACGAATACAGAGCAGGTATAAAAGTGGTTAGGAAGATATTGTTATAGTCCAGTCAAGGAATAAGAAGGGTCAAAACCAAGTTGGTAATGGTAGAGGTGGTGAGATGCTGCCAGATCTTAGATACATCATGAAGACACAGCTGACAATAAGCAATGGACTGTGATACATGTTAGCTCTGGTTATCTGTATGGATTGTGCATATATTTACCCACATGTAGTATATGCATATAAACGTGTATTTTTTCATTGCTCTATGTATCCCAAGTTTGTGGTTACTTAAACTAGGATCATATGCCAAGGCAATCACAATAAGCCTAATTGGCTGTATAATCAAAGAATAAATCACATTACCACCCTGGGTCTTAATTCCTTACACGATCAAACAAGAATACCAGGGCCCATTGTGTAACTGTGTGATTCCACTATTAGCAAGTGTCTTGTTGCCCTAATATTGATAAAGGCCCAGAGAACAAAGGGTTTTCTGACTTCAGTGTCGTTACAAATGTATGGTAACTTCGAATAATAAAAATCTGTCCTCACTGTTGGAACACCCACTGCATTTAATAGAATTTAGCAGTGTCAGTGTTCTCCTTTGTGCCATTTTTCAGCAATTTGGGTCTAGGGCGGGACTGCTTAGTAGGAGTCTGAAACTTTTCCAGATATAAAGATTTGGAATTCTGAGCCTTGGAATTGCAGACACTTTTTCAGAACATACCTTAAATTACCACCCTCAGTGTGTTTTTCTTAGTGATTTAGGAGAATAATGAACTTATAGAGTAACGTATGTAGAATTTACTGTGTCAAGCACTTTTCGGAAGCATTTTTAAATATTAGCTTAATCTTCGCAACATTTTTGTGGTAAGATACAATTATTATTTCCATTTTGACATAAGAAAGCTCAGGCACGAAGCAATGAAGAAAGATGCCTTCAAATGCCACTAAGGCAATGTCACATCAAGCAAAAATAGAGATAATTTTTGAGATAATTAAAAGAAATACATGGAAAACAGTTTGGAGGTTAAGTATCAAGGAACGTTTTGTCAGAATTTCACAAACTAATTCCGACAGGGTTTATAATAATCAAACACACTGACATTAGGCCTCTTCCTCTCTCCAGCCCTTGTTGACTTTGGTTCTCTAAGGAGGAAAAGACAGACTGAGAATGAAGCCTCAGGGCACCCACTGCAGCCACACCAGCTCCCCAGTGCCTGTCAGATCCGGTTCTCAAGAAGTTTAAAACATATGCTTGTATTGTCCTAGGCCATTCCTTTGTTAGGTCTTGAAGAAATTAGATTGTCATTTCTTTAATGAGCTTAAACCTCCTTTTACTTGACATCCCAGAGCCAATATTTTCTTTCTTTCTCATGCTTCCCCAAAATACGAGCTTTCCTACTCATCTCTTTTCTTACTGTTTCAGATATCCCATCTCAACCTGTTTCAGGTCGGACAGCCTTGACCAGGTCCTTTGTGATGACTAAAGAACATGAATTGGGCAAACAAGCTAATCGAAAGTCTGAAATCAGTTATTTGTTCAACAAAACACCGTGGATGAAACCTATAGTATAATAAAAAAAATGTGAACTTGTCGCCCATCCAAATTCTGGAAGTAGCAAGCAAGCTTTGCAGCACGAAGGGATTATTTGGGAGACTGATAAAAGGAGATAATTTTACACTCCTCTTATTGTAGAACTAATTGTCCCCAGTAGGTTTCACATTCTAATAACCACCAGAGTAGTTTAGACAAATTACTGAGAAAGACTATGTACCAGCTATAAGCCCGGGGACAGCATTTTGCTACCCGAAAGTTCTTAGTTAGAACCTTGGCCAAAGTCAGAAATACTGGCCAGACCCTTGTGCTGACCCGCATAGGTGTATGTGGGGTGGAAAGGTTGGGAACGTTGTTAGGAACCCTGAATCAAATCCAGGTGACCCTCCAGAGAAAACCTCCTCAATGTCTTGTTACTAAGAAGTCCAGGATTAACCTCAGGACAGTCCCTCTCTACCCCTCTACCGTCACTATCTGGGTGCCTTTATGAGTCACAGAGACCCCACTTGTGGGTGGGGTGGATTGCTGTGTTACCCCTGCCCTCCAGGTCAGTTCCCATTTCTACCTGCCAGAAAGCACTGCGGCATCCGCCCCTCCGGGCATGCTCAGTGCTCTGGCCAAGCTTAAACTACCGGACAGGCAGCAATCTACCAACCGAGTCAGCCTCTAGTGCCCAGGTCCCTTTAAATCGGGCTGCCCGGTTGCCAGGCAACAGTGAGGCCGGTGGCCGCGCTGCACTGCAGAGGCTCTGCCTCGAGCCCGCCAAGCCGGGTCTCGGTGGCCAGCACGGACCGTGGGGCTGCCGCCTGCCGGCGGTGATGAACTTCGGAAAGAGGGGACAGGACTCCCTAGATCTCACCCACGCTTCCAGGTACGTCTGCAGAAGGGAAAGCCTGGGCTGCCACTGGACTCCTCACTTTTCCCCTGGCTTGGGCTCAAGAGGGCGGGGAGCTGAGGAAGACCCCGCCGCGGAGTTTGTCTCTCTTTAGAGCCCCACGCTAGAGCTGCGAGAGGTTTCAAAAGAAGAGGTTAAGGGATGGGGGTGTGGAAGGAGGAGTGAGTCAAACTGGCCAGTCTCCCACAAGCGACGCGGTCGGGACTGGGGAGGTGGAACTGTAACCTGCAGTGGGGGCTCCAGCAGCGCCGCCCAGCTCGGGCCAGTTTTTGCCTGCTGGACAAAAAGCACTGGTGGCAAGGGTTTCAGTTAAACATTCACAGAGAAATCCCTCAAACTATGCATACAAAGGTACAGGTTTATAGCAAGAATGTGACTCCCATACTAATAAACTCTCAGCCTTTAGAATTAAGGTGACTCCGTATCTTTTCTTCTAGTGGGAATAATTTCACACTAATGATAAAAGGCGAGGTAATAACTATCCAGGGGACTGAGTTTTCCACGGGACTTTGCCTCCCTCTCCCTAGCTGCCAAACAATAGAAAAGACAATTTGTCGGGGAAGTGAACACTTGGCTCATATGTTAGAACTCTGAATGATTAAAGCAAAATTCAGGATCACTTGCCTTTCTATTTTTTTTTTTTTTTTCAAATTAACTGCATGCTGAAGGGGGCTAAGACCTAGGCTTTGGCTTTTTGCTAAAGTGGCTCTTGACATGCTCATTAATTACAAGCCTGCTCCTGACTTTGCCACTAGTGGCTCATTTATGCAATAGATTTTAAAGTGAGGAGATACTGGGTTTGAATAAAATCTCACCATGCTTCTTGTCCCATTTGACATTTGTATTCACAGAAAGAAGACTTAGTGGAATAATAGTTGGAAAAAAAGTCAACAATCTTAAAGAAAAAAAAACTACCTGTAAGTGTCTAGCACATTAATAATAAGATTAAAAGCATTCTAAGTTTATCACTTGTGCCTTTAATGTACATCTCAAGCATAAACATGGGTTCGGGTATTCTGACTATTTGTTTCCTGATTATACTGATGAGGTGCAATTTCTTTTTCCAGTTCAAGCTGCTGAACACCTACAACCAGTATAATATCTCAGGAGTCAGAAAGGGTAAGTACAGTAATATTGGCTGATGTCTTGTATCTAAGGACAGCGCCTTACCTAGCATAAACTTTCAAATTTGTAATCACAGTATCAATCTGCATTGTAGGTGCACTGTTCAAGAAGGACTCATAAAAAGGCAAAATAAGACCTGCCCCCACCCCACCAAGCTTACCTAAGCCAAATATATTTCCAGGGAAAAATAAAAATCCTTTCCTAAAAATGTCACCCAAAATGCGTCATCAGCTAGGGAAGAAATTACCAATTGTTTTTCTTTAAAATCATCAACTAGAATCAAAGTGTTATATATTTTTCAGGAAGTATGTTAAGGATCACTCATACAACAAAGTTCATTAAGGGTTACTACATGTCAGGTGACAGAGATACAAAGACAAATAAGATGCCAGGTGGGCAAAAAATGCCGGGCAATCACAGCATGTCAGTGTGTATATATTGAAGGTCTGTAGGAAATGTCTTAAAAGCACTGGAAAGAAACTCCGAGTGCAAAGTCATCCTTGCTTCCTTCAAACTAATACTCCAATTGTAATATTTCAAAGAAGTTATTGGTGGCTCTGAAAACAGGGACTTTTAAAAATTTCTTGGAAAGTTGGGGGTGAAAAATGCAAATATCTTAGGTTGTAGAGAAGACTTACCACTTTACTGCTTAGAGACTCAATTTACCTTTAGAAATTTGTGCATATCAACAACTAGAGTGTAGTAGTCATGGCTAAGGGGGAATGCAGATTGAATGAATTTAAAACTGGAGTGCTTACTTTGATGTACCTATTTTTCTGTGTTATTGGACATTGACCCCAAGGCCTTGTATATGCTAAGCTTGTACTCTGTTATGGAGCTCCAGCCAAGGTAAGAGCCTATAGGTTTTTTCCAGATTGAATTTTTCTGGGATCTGATGACTTCAGACCAGGCAATTTGGGAGCTCAAATCTTTGGAGAAGGTTAGGTTGCTTAACTGACTGATTTGTTAGAAAAGAGGATAAGGAAAACCTAAAAAAGAACACAACTCATTGTTTATAGTGCCAGAAAAATCCTGTCCATTTTAGTTCTTTTGTTATAATCACCTGTGAAGGGACTGTATTTCCTCCATTTTTACACCTGCAGACTGCATCTCCGAAGTCTTCATTGCAATAGTTCTAAAATGCGAGCCCTAAGTTTTCTGAGCTCTTCAGTCTTTTTTCCCCACCATAATCCATACCCAATCTTTTCCCAAGAATTTCCTTTTCTTTCTTTCTCACAGCTTTCTGCAGTAAGAAAAAAAAACATTTGACTTCCGGAGAGTTCATCAGTCCTCTTTCTGGTATCGGGTGGGGGTGGTTTTGTGCAAGTCAGTGGAAGAAGGTGGAGTGTGGCTTCTTTTGTACCAGATTTCTTTCCTTTTGGTGCTGAACAGTTTTTCTGAGGGTCAAGAGAACTGAAAACATCGAAGAATAAAGACAGCCAGTTCCCTGGGCAGAGAGAGGCCCTTTGTCTTCACCTTACCGCCCCCAGGCAGTGACTAAAAGCCAAGCCTTTAGCTGAGTGGTTGAGGGGAGTGACAGAAGGTTGCTCAACAAGGGTTGGAGCTGAGCTTTTCCAACCACCATTCAGTTTACACAGTTTGTGAGGAAGGGCCCTTGTGAGAGGGGAAAATGCCGCTGGCTCTCTTGCTGAACTGTTTCTGTCTTTGGAAATCATGACAGGTTTAGATTTATGCAAAGAGATAATCCTGAAATTTGAAACCAAATTCTAAAGTAAATAGGATAATGCAAAGAGAAAAAACATCTTTGACTTACATGGCAGGAGATTTCTCCCATAGAATGAAATTTCACTCCACCTTAACATAAGCATATTCTGGAGCTTCCCACTTTGAAAATGAAAGTGAGATGGCTCTGTGGATTTCTCCTTTCATGATAAATAATAGTGCATTATATTTCTGGAGCTGTTTGAGGATAGATATGTATTCACTTAAGATTTTTATGGAATGATATGCCAATAGATCCATGATAAATGATCACTCAGCTTAGTTCTCAATATTTGTTACATCATATTACATTATAAATTCATTTTATTAGTGGTTTCCAAATTATTTTGTAGAACTCCTGGGCTGAAGTGATCTTCCTGCCTCAGCCTCATGTGCAATCTAATTTTTTAGAAATGTAGACCACTTCCGTGGAACAAGAAATCCCTTACTCTACAAAAATATCCTACTACTTTGCCACTGCAAGAAAAAGCACTGTGTTCTTTTTGTTCTTGTTTTTGTTTTTGCTATGCAAGTTTATATTGTTTTTCTCTCTGTATTCTGGCTGGTTTCATTACATTTTGCACTTCTCTTGGGTCTCTTTTCTCCTACCCTTCCGTTATTCAGTGTGCAATGTTGAGTTGGTTAGCCACTCACAATAGAAATGTTCACAATTGCCTGGATAAAAGAGCACACTCAACTTTCAATAATGGCTTCTGCTTTGATTTGCCTACTGCTGCAATGAATTACCTAGTTAAGTTTGAGAACAAAATGGCTCTTAGGCCAGAATAGAGGAATGTCATTATTTCAAAGCATATTCCTTGTCTTTGCCAGAGAGTACTAATGCCATACTTGTTCTGCATAAGAAACAAACAGTGCAATTGGCAACGAGAAAATGCAACTGGCAGCTTTTACCCCTAGTCTGGACTTAGCCACACTGTTAGTAAATTTGGAAAGGAGCCCTTAAAAGATATCTTGCCAGAGAGGGGGAAGGGAGGGGAAAGAGAGAAAGAGACAGAGTGGGGGGCAGCTCAGAGACCCCTTGACCCTGCCCTGTGTAAGCCAGAGGAGGGAAATTCCAAAAGGCTTTTCAAATCTTTCTCTTCTGTCCTTTGAAATGTGACATGCAATTCTCCTTACCCTCCCCCTTTCATTTTTCCTCTTTGTTTTTGTAGCCCTTTAAAAGATACCTCAACTCTTAGAAGAGTAGGTTGTTTCCTTTCAGTTTGTAGAATGAAACCTAGTGGATGAACAAAGAGCAATTTTAGAACAGACACTGACCTGGGAGATAGGATATCAATATTTTCCACTGCGGGCTGTGTGGCCTTGGTCAAATCACTTGAATTCTCTGAGCGTCATTTAGAAAAGTACTGGATTCTTCCCACTTCTGTGAAAAGGATAGCTTTTATAGGGCTTACTGAAACACCACTGCCTTCTAGATAAGAAACCCTATGGAAACTCAAGAAAACAGGCAGCGTGTGTGTGTGTGTGTGTGTGTGTGTGTGTGTGTATGTGTGTGTGTGTGTGTGTGTGTGTCCCCGCGCGCGCGCATGTCTGTGTGTGTGTCTGTGTCTGTGCGTGCACACACACACATCCCCAGAAATTTGTGGTAAAGTTGTACATAGAAGTCATTTTTTCAATGAGAAAATTATTACTGAAGAGAGTCTTCTATGTTGACCCCCAAACACACCTTCATGTAACTCCTAACTAGACTTTCAGGAGTTTCATCACTGCTGCCTTCAGGTATAATGTAAGTGGCCTCACGTTTCTTGCTCCTGTGCTTACCTTGTCCCTGAGCAACCCTACTCAAGTCTTTCATGTGGAGTTAGTAGAAGGAAGAATCATCTCTCTGTTGTTAATTGCTTAGGAGCATTTTAATCCTTCACAGAATCGTTGAAATTTTAACTGATAAACAATGTAACTGACAAGTAGCACTGCCCTGTTTTCTCCTGTCTGTGTTCCTTTATGATTACTATTTTTTTTTTGTCTTTTTCCTTTTTATCGGTACCGGGGATCAAACTCATGACTGCTTGCTTGCAAGGCAGGTGCTTATGCTGCTGAGCTAAATCCCCAGCCCCTTATGATTACTATTAATTATTTGTACTCATATGCGTTTGTAATTCTAGAGAGGTGGAAACCCGCATTATGGTAGTCTTCCCCTTTAAGAGCAGGTAGGTCGTAAATACTTGTGGAATGTGATGAGTAGAATGCTCGAAGGCAGGAAGTCATTTCAAGAGAAAACAGAGGAGAGCCAATGAATGGTAAACACACACTGTGGATCTCAAGTCTGACTTTATCTCTATGGTTTGAGTGACTATACTTTTTTCTTAACTAAACCTTGATAAAGACTGGCTTATTCCTTTTCACTAACCATTTTAACACCTCCAGCGAATACTCACTTCCAAAGAGCTTGTTTTAAGAATATTTGTACATTTCTCTTTCCTCAAAGCCAAGAAATAGTCAGTAGGAATGAACTTTTGGGATACTTAGTACCTCGCTTCTGTTTGCTTTTTCATGAGGAAGGGGTAGAGGAAGTATCTTCAGTGCCTGTAGGTATCATTTATTCTTTTTAATTTGGTTTGATTTTATTAGTACATGTTTGCAGTTTACAGTCATCTTATGGAGTGGTTACACGGATGTAGTAAACCTGGTTTTTTATCTGACCCCTTCCCCCTTTCCCTCCTCCTCCTCTTCCCTCTTTCTCTTCTTGCTCCTCCTCATGTTTTCTGAACCGGGTGATATTATTGGTCTTAACACATGCTATGGCGTATAATGTTTACATCGATTGGAATATTACTAGGATTCTGTAGTGGCACATGTTTACTCCTCTCATTTCTCCTTCCACTCCTCCCCAGCCCTCTCCTTGTTCCCTTATTCTTTCATTGCCTGCAGCAGGAAAAATCTGCTCTGTAGACTTCTGTGGTAAAAAGAAGACTGGTGAGCTAATACACCAAAATATAGTTATCTGAGGTAATGGGATTATGACAATGATTCTTTTTTCCCCTTTGTTGTTGTCTTTATGCTTTTCTATAGTCTCAAAAATTGCTATAAATAATCAATAAAATATTACATAAAAATACCACATTTACCATGTCTCGCTACCAAGAGAAAATGATACGCGTGTATATCGGTAAAAGAAATACAATCATACTTTGCTATTTCTCATCATCAGTGACACTGCAAATACATTACAGTAAATTAATGTGCAGAACAAGCACGATGACCCTATCCTTTTTCTCACTGTGTTGTAGAGTTGCATCTCAGTGGCTTCAGATGCTTATTTGACCCTGGATATGTTGCTTGAATATTTCTTTCTGTCTTCCTTCAGAAGTAGTTACTAATCAAATATTTCCATACTTTAAGAAAGCTGTATGTTATTGATTCTCTTGGAATGGGGGAAGACTATTTTTGAAACAAAATAATCTTCCTCTAACTTTTATAACTGTAGATGTTGGTTGTGATTTAGTGTAATGTTTTCACCTAAGAACGACACTCAGCTTCAGAGTCAATATCTTGAGCAAAATACCTTTGATGACATCAGTGTTTTCAATTGTTAACATTAGGTTCTGATCATGAAATTGCTGTCAAAGTGAATAGAAGTCTTTCCACTTGGCAGTCTTGTCTAAAAGCAAAACCCAAGACTGGAATAGCAAGAATTTAATAGGTCAAGGTAGAAGGGCATTTGGCAGAGTCGGGCATAAGGAAGTCTGCCTGGTACACTTCACCAAGAGCGGCTCACATTACATTAAGCCCCAGTGTTTTAGTCACTTTAAAGAAAGGCTAAACAGTAGCCTTGTCCAAAAGAGCTAGGAAAAACTGGACACATTGAAAACATAGGTATTAGTATTCACTGATTAATTTCAAATCATTCATACTTTCAAATCATTCCTAATTTTAAAGCTGCTTTCATAGTTACTTTCTCATAGAATTATTTGGCCTAAAGTGAATAATGAAATGTGTTAATTTACTGGTTTACTTATAGGATGGAAAAATTTCAAAGCTAGCATTGTCTGTAGAACTTAGTTCAGCCCTTTCAATTTACAAATGAGGAAAATGAGGCCCAAATCACTTACCTAGTTAGAGGAAGAGACACCCCTCAAGCATTTAGGTTCCTTTGCCATTGAGCAAGCATTATTAATTTTAAGTTCTTTCTGACAGTGTAAATAATGTGCCTTGATTCTAAATTTTATTTTTTAAGGAACTGGAAGAGATACCTAAAGAATGAATACTCGAAGAAAACAGTGGAAGGAAGGTGTGTTTTTACCTCTTGTTAATGCAGAAGATATTCTGGAAGAAACTTCCCAGCCGGAATCTCCTTCTGAACAAATACCTATAGATAAGACAAAGAACGTGGAAGAAATTTATAGTGTCTCCAGTGGGAAGTTTCAAGAAGAAAGTAAATTTAAGAGGGAAGAATGTATTTCCCAACTAAGTCAAAAAGAACAAGAACCTAATTTAAAAGAGAGCGGGATTAACATGTCCAAGAACAAAGCAGACACAAATTCGGACTGCTACGAGACATACAGCGTGAATGCTGTGAGGGACGAGAGTTATAGCAGAAATGGACATCCACCTACCAGGAGCAAAAAGGAACTCCCAACTATGTCACAACCAGATACAGGGAAATCACAACCAGATACAGGGAAGAAACTGACCATAAGAAGGTTCCCAAATGTTAACCTGAACCTTTTGAATGAAGAACTGGAGCGACTTAATAAGAAATGTAGAAAAATAGAAGAGGAATTTGAAATGACTGAAAAAGAACTTCTGAACTCCAAAAAAGAAAACGCTTCAGAATCCCTAAATTTTGAAGAAACAGAGATACAAACTTCTAACAATTGGGAACTTCAAGCTTTAAAAAATGCCCTATATGAAAAAGAAACAGATGTTAAAAACTTAACTGAAGAGCTCCAAAAAGCCAAAGATGTCATCCACAAGTTGAATCTAGAGAACCGAGATTTAAAAAAAGCAGTGAGGAAGTTAAAACATCAAAATGAACTAGGAAATGAACTCCTGAAAGAAGAAATGAAATTGTATTATGAATTAGAGGTGGACAAGATTCGCCGTGAGCTCAATACCATCAGGAATGAACTGAGAGTTGAGAAGACCCTGCAGGCAAGAAATAACCGAGCCCTAGACTTGCTTAGAAAACATGTGATTTCGATGGTCAGGTCATCAAGCACTATTGACCACCTTTATCGGAAACTTTAAGCTTAATAAAGCCTTTCATTAGGCAAGTTATTGAGCCAAATCAATGTTTGTTGCATTACTTTGTGTAGTACTCAAAATGTATGTAATAGAGTATAATCTTCACTTTTGCTGAATTAGAGCATCTGTAAAACAGAAAGATATTAATTTCAAAGCTTCTGTTTTCCCTTTCTCATGAAGTCATTGAGAGGCTCCAAATGGAAATGAAGCTTTAGAAATCTTTTTGTATACACACACACACACACACACACACACACGCACACATATATATATTTCACTCAAAAACATAGTCATTTGCCAGAACATTTATGAATACAAACCAGCAGTCATTTTATGATCTTGTGAGCAAAATGTTCTTCAGCCATGAATATTTTGCCATCTGTGTTCATTGATGTTAACAATAAAAATCTTGTTTATGCGTATAAGTATAGCATATATCTGTCTTACAGCTCCTTGTTCTAACTCAAGACAATACCAAAGTTGTAGCTGCTTTCTTTGAGGATCTAATCTTAATCAGGTTCACGCAAAAATCTCAGGAAAATGCAGTGTGTTTACTTCTCACTGCTGTTTTCTTTATGCTTTCTCCTTTGACCTGGCTACCCGGAGACACTGCAGCCACTTTGCTAAGAGCCCTGCTTTTGTCAGTGGTGACTTTTGCATTTTCTCATGTTGACCAGCAAGGGGCGTTGTTTACAAAGGTCTTCCAAAACTGAATCGGGAAAATTCTTTAAGTTTTTGCCTGGCTTGTATCACGAGGCTCGGGCTGGAGTGAAGGGTGTTGGATGTCATCTAGGTAAACTTTTGCTGAGCTAGCTTGATTTATATGGTCACATGGCACTGTAAGGGACTCAGGCAATAATAATTTGTTTTATACTTAGAGTAGAAATGCCTCCATCCTATGGTGGAAGAGATGGGACAGTTGATTCTTTGTATCAATCATCAAGATTTCTTATAATCAGAATTCTATGTGTGTGGTATTTTAAATCTCAATTAACCAAATGTGATTGCATACTACACAACTATCAGGCTTCAGGTATCTTCCTTGATAAGAAGATTCCCAAACTGGGAGCCAAGACACTGGATTTCTAGTACCTGCTCACCATTAACTAGTTAAGCTTCTAGCCATAAGAGTCCTCATGTGTAAACCTAGGGAGCAGAACTGTGCTTGAGATTGTGTTCAGAGCTGGATGTGGTCACACACTCGCAGTCCCAACTACGTAGGAGACTGAGGTGGGAAGATCGCTTGAGCCCTTTATTTAAGGGTCAGGCTGGGTAACAGAGCAAAATCCTGTCTCTTAAGCATTCTGCTCAATTTCATTGCTTTGTTATTTCACGTCAGTGAGTTTTTATGCAACATAACTGTACTTGTAATGAAGTAAAATTCTCGTGGCATCAAGTGATTCAGTTCTAATGCCTCAGGGTACCAGCTTTACAGGTCTTCCTGTCAAAGGAAGGCTCTTTTGATAGTTTTGACATCTTCAAATACTGTGTCAATAATAAATCAACAGAGTGAGTAAATGGACTTATTTCTTCTCCTTACTCACAGGAATAGGGAAAGTGCCGAATGAAGATTAAACTAAATTGACCTGCAGGTTACTCAGGACTTGCTGCAGCAGCTGAGACTGAGCTCCATTGGAAGGTGGTACTCTTTGGAGCTTTCTGATTTAGTCCTCATAAACTTAACTCTGGCCCTGGCATCCTGTCTCAAAGGAGGGAGATGATTTTCAAGTTGTTGGTGGTTACTGGTTTCTGCCAAGGGTGTAGGTACAAGAGCAAGGTGGGGACTCTTCACTCTGTTCGACTCACCGCCATCCTCAATCAGTCTTGCAATTGCTACTGTGCCTTGCCCCATAAACACTCTCATTCACTGAGTGCTTGTGTGCAGAGGTATCTAGATGGTAAAAATAGGTAGGGCTGTAGTAAGGCATTAGGCTCAATCTTCTCTCTCTCTCTCTCTCTCTCTCTCTCTCTCTATATATATATATATATATATATATATATATAGACAGACATATACATATGTGTGTGTGTGTGTGTGTGTGTATTTTGTTTGTTTTGCAGTGCTGGAGTCAGAACCCAGGTCTTGCTCATACTAAGCACATGCTCTACCACTGAGCCAAAGCCCCAGACCTAATTCTATTTTTTAAAGAAGAGCTTTTATTGCATGGGAATTTCTACCCACCAGCCATATGTTTAAGATTTCCTATGATAGTTTGGTTGATCTTTCCCGGTGTGCTATGTACTTGGGAGCTAGGAAGGAATGTATGGAGGAAGGTCCAGAGAAGACAAGTTTATGGCTCAGCCCAAATTAGAGTGGAGATGCTGTGTTTCTAAAATGGAATTGGAGTACAGATTCTTGGGTAGCAAGGCTTGCCTAAATTAAGGACACTATGTGAAGCCACAGTCCAGACATGAAGCAGGATGATATGCAATCACCAACTTCAGAAGGCCAAGGAGAAAGAGAAGCCAATGTTTCTGCACCACACACAGCGGGGAATGGATCACATCAAGAGAGAAGCAGGGCTGCAGCAGTCTTGGATAAAGAGAGGAAGTTAGTGCTTGTCTTCCTAGGCAGATGAGAACAGTGGTGGGTTAAACCAGCTTAAAGCATCAGAGTCCATTGGCTCTAAACTGCTCTCATTTGATGCGTTTGGTGCCCTTTCCTAATTTTGATCGGAATATATTATCACTGAACCTTCTGTTTCAGTTACATTTCTCTCACTGTTGAGACAAAATACATGACACTCAAAGTTGAAAGAGGAAAGATTTATTTAGTTCACAGTTTGTAGATGTTTCAGTCCTTAATCTGCTGGTTTCACATGGCAAGGGGCACGTGGCAGAGGGACACATGTTCATAGTAGTGGAAGACAGCAAAAACAATAAGAGAGGGACTTTAACAGGGTCTTCCTGCCCCTTTTATTTTATCCAGACTATTAGGACTAGGGTGATGTCAAACCAATCAGTGGACTGATTTAGTGATCACACATCCTTAATCCCAGCATCTTACATTCTAGATTCAGCCAACTCTAAAAAATCCTTATGACCACATAAGGCTTTGGGGGGACATCTAGACACAAATTATAATACTGAATGAGGCACATGGAGGTGTTTTATTTTTTAATGTGGGTGGCACTTGAGATCACTCATCCCCTTGACTAATCTGTTTGGTAAAATATTTGAAGTCAGCAGTGTAAACACACATTATTCACACTCGGCTCCCAACTCCTTACTTAAGAAAGTTGGACTCTCAGAGAGCCCTAGGAATACCTGCCTCACCTTGGGTTCTCATTCTGTAAATATTTGCTGATCACTTATTACCACAGCTCACTTGCTCTAATAAAGGTCTTTTTAAGAGTTTGGATATTCCTGAATTTGTATGCATCTTAAAATTAACAATTTCTCATAGTACACTTGTCTGTATTTTTTCTTGGTAGTTTATGAAATAATATAATATTGTATTTTACAATCAATCTAGTTTTTGTTTTTGCTTTTTTTGAGATAATGTCTTGCTATATAGTTCGGGCTGGCTTCAAACTTGTGGTGATCCTCCTGCCTCAGCATCCTGAGTACTAGGATTACAGGTATGCACCACCACAGCCAGTTAATCAGTGCAGTTTTAGATTTGGTAAAATATGGTATGTTGTAGGCTGGAGATATGGGAATAAAAGAATTTATGAATAAGACAAGACTCTGATCTCAAGAACCTTACTTAGGCAATTAACTAAAAAATGTGGTGAGAGCTAAGCTAGCAATGCTAATATGGAGCTGTGGAAGTACAGAGAAGGCCAATTAATTCAGCCTATGGGGCTGAGAACAACTTCATAAAAGAGGGGACATTTGAGCTGAGCCTTGAAGAATAAGTAGGATTTTTCTGGGCAAAGCATGGAGTAGGGGGACAGGCACATTTCTGGAATGTGAATGTGGAAGCTGTATTTGGCTTCAAAGTGGACTCTTAACAGCAGTGAATTAGAGTATTGGGATGTTATATGTGTTGCTGATTTTTAAAGTCTCATTTGAGGTTCTATTCTGAAAATTATAATTTCCAACTCTTTTGCTCATTTGCAGATAGACTAGAGAATGAAGTTCTCAGGACATAAAATCCAAGTTTTGGATAGCAAGAACAGAAAACAATTTTGCTAATCTCACTGTACCTTTGGAAGCCATCATATTTGTTTTAGAAACAAAAGACATACGGGATTTCAGTTGCAATAGTCCAAGTCCACTGTGAGCAGTCCTGTTTCACAGCTGAACCTTTCTCCAAAAAGCACTATAGCATAGAGATTAAGTGCACAAACTGGTTATTCACTTACTAGCTGAATGACCTTGGGCAAGTTGCATAATTCTCTCCAGCTCAGTTTCCTCTTCTTGTTTTCAAGGTTAATAAATAGTATTGTTGGGAGAATGCAATGAAGTCACATAGTCAATAAATGTCCCTTTTGTTGTCATCATCTTTATTATTATTACGTGACAAAGGGAAATTGACCAAGAACATCTGTCTTCTCTTAGCTATTACTTTTACTAAGCTCTTTGCGCTTATTGTTTTCAACTTGGGTTCTCTGGAGAGAATACAGTGAACTCATTCATAATGTGTATACTGATAGTATGTATATATGTTCAAGGTGTTAGAACAGGTTCCAGGGAAGATAACTTGAGTTCACTCAATGTATGAAGCCTTAATCTAAAGTAGTGAATCTGTCTGATGGTCTTTCATTCTGTCAGGGGAATTTCTTGGGTCAGAATCTACCCAGCCCCTGTCTAGTCAGGTCTGTGTAAGGTCAGCCCGTGGCCCTAGCAGGTAGGGTACCAGAAGAGGGAGGAAAGCCCCTTGCTAGTGCTCCAGTAGGGGAAACTCATAGGAGAAGGGATGGAGACAAGAGAGGTTATTAGAGTGGTTTCCATTTCCAGTTGGCACAGGGAGATGTGTAGCTGGGGAGTCACTACTATAGCTGCTTAGATCAGAGTAAGTCATTGTCTTGTTCTTTGTACTCCAAGGATGTGGAAGTTGCAGCTAGCTGTGTATTGTATGTACATCCTACTTTCAGTACTG